AGCTTTTAGCATTTTGGGTGGATCTCATCAATCCCTGGGGCTTTGCCACTGTGGAGTTGTTTGACTACCTCAGTGACTTCCTCCAGGGAAATTGACGAGAAACCCCCATCAGGATTTAGCAGTTCCTCAAAGTGTTCCTTCCACCGCCCAACTACCTCCCCAGTTGAGGTCAACAGGGTCCCATCCTTACTGTACACAGCTTGGACGGTTCCCCGCTTCCCCCTCCTGGGATGGCGGACAGTTCTCCAGAAGCACCTTGGTGCCGACCGAAAGTCCTTCTCCATGTCTTCTCCGAACTCTCCCACACCCGCTGCTTAGCGTCTGCCACAGCAGAGGCTGCAGTCCTTCGGGTGCCTTGCAACCGCCTCCATAGTCCTCCGAGACAACAAATCCCGGAAGGCCTCCTTCTTCAGTCGGAAAGCTTCCCTGACCACCGGTGTCCACCACGGTGTTCGAGGCACCTAAGACCTTGAGACCACCGCTTCCCACTGTGGCTTCAGCAATAGAGGCTTTGAACATTGCCCACTCATGTTCAATGTCCCCAACCTCCACAGGGGTGCCAGAAAAGCTCCGCCAGAGGTTTAAGTTGAAGATCTCATGGACAGGGGCCTCCTCCAGACATTCCCAGTTCATCCGCACTACCCGTTTGGGCTTACCGCGTCTGTCCAGAATCTTGCCCTACCCCTGACCCAACTCACCACCAGATGGTGATCAGTTGACAGCTCCGGTCTCACCACTGGAACGAGGACGAGCTCATCTGGAGGACACACATGAAAACTATTTCCATTCCAAAGCATGGTTTACATCTCACTGAGCTCCTCCCCCACCACAGAGGGGTTTTAAGAGCCTGTCCAACTTTAAAATGAGCAGCAACATGAAGATCTCAGGACCCTGAAGATCCTGATGTCATGAGGAATCTCACTGCCTCACCTCTGACCTTTACAAACTCTCACTGTTTTATCTCTCTGTTCCTCATGAACATTAGCTCTTTAGCTAACTCCGCCACAGCCGGGTTCTGGTTCTAGAAAGTAAACAATAGGAGAAAAATAAATTTAAGAAGCACTTAAAAGAGCGAAAATGCCAAAAAGCTTAATATGACCTCTTTAATTCTTTGTTTGTTTGTTTGTTTGTTTTAAAGGGACAGTGCACATTGATGAACAGAAGGACTAAGTCCCAAATGTAAGCGAGCCAGATTTAGCCGTACAGATTCATTTAATCTGGAGTCCCTGGCAGGTTGATGGCAGAACAAAAAACATCAAACATGTCATCCAGAAAACATTCAAACAAACTTAAGCACATAATCCCAAGCAGAGAACCAGGAACATGGATAAAACATAAAAACAGGAGTCACATAAACACAGACAAAAGCAGACGAGCACAAATAAGATGCCACATAGAAGACATCAGCATGTGAGCACAGACATTTGTAAAAACAATGACAGAAGCACTAATGCACATTCTGACTACATATTTGTATTTGTTGTTGGTAGTAGTACAGATGCAGCTCGCTACGTTACCTTTGTTGCAGATTGTTTTACACAAGATTCAATTAGAAGAAAATGTTACTGGTTTTTACATTTATTTTCTTTCTGTTGTATTTTTCTTCTTTCCAACACCGGGAACCGGCTACTGCAAAATAAATCTGTTAACAGCTTCATACTGCGTACTACTATGAAACGCAGTATGCTATATGTAGTACATACTGCGCTCGCAGGTAGTATGTAGTAGGGCTGGGCTATAAAACAATAATGATAATTATATAATTTTAGTGATATAGTCTACAGAGCTCCTATTTATTCACTTTACTGAGATCCAAAACAGAAAAGCAGCAACTCGTCACACTGGAGAAGCTGGAATTATTACAGACTTTTTCTTCAGCGCTCTAAACTGAAGCCACTTTTCCAAAGCTCTTCCTACAGTCTGCATCACCAACATGCATCTGGGCCAAACAGTTCATCTCAGTATCCCAATCAGGTTTATTGCCAGCTACATTTTCACATACGAGCACTTTGCCTCGGTGTGTTGGTGCTTAACAGGACACATAAACATAAGTATAGAAATATAAAGAAAGAGAAAGTCAAGAGATCCAAAATGTACAAGTACACAAAATAATCCAACAAATAAACAGGATATTTGACAGGAATGTGCAAAAATTCACCTCCAAAACTGACTCAAAGCATCAAAACACAGATTTTGTCTGCGTCACTTTTTAAAAGCATCATTTATTAAAAATGTTGTGAAAACTAGCTAAAGAAATGTTAACAACAAATGAAAATGCATTCAGAAAGGTTTGTTTGCACAATAAGAAAAGCTGCAGTGCAGTTTAAATCTAGAAGAAACAAAAAAGTAAGTGAAGCTAAAAGAAAAACAAGCAGCTGATTTCTGCATTATATTCTGTTCTAGTTTTAGATTTGAATCCTCACCTGCAACCTATATTTAGTTTCCCTTCATAGAAATAAAGACATTTCCAGCAGATGTTGGTGCAGCACAAAGTGACGCAACAACAGGAAGTGTTATATATAGAAATAAACTCCTGAAGTATTTTTCACAGTAATCAGTATTTCATTCCATATTAATAAAAACAGATTTCACTTTATTGACTATTCGGCCAGACGCCACAGTCTAAAATGATGATTTAGCTTCAATCTGTCAGTTTTCAGATTTCAAGTTATTTTGCAGATTTTATTTCCAGACTTTCACAAAATGTACAAAACAACCTTGAATGATGTTTTTAAACATTTTTATTTGTCCATTTTACACAAAGTCCGTCAGCTGCAGCACTTTCCAAGTAAAAGTTCAAGCTGTCTTTTTAAAACTCTGCAAACTGAATCAGATATGGTTTGAAAGTTTGTTTTCTAGAGCACAATGTTGACTAGTTCATTTATCAGATATCTAGAAGAGATGTGTTCATGTGACAAACTGGAATATGTTTCTAATGCGTTAGCTAATCTTTAAAGCCTGTTACACTGGGCTCTCGTCTTCCAGCTTTTCTCACTTGCTAACATGCATCGGTCCAAACTCTTCACACAGTCAGAGAAACAGAAGTGTGTGTGGATCAAACTGTCAATCACTTTTATTGCTAATTGCTGCACACATTCAATGAGCACTTTCTCTAAAATCAGGAACTCTTTTCTTTCCTGCTCCACCTCCTGCAGAACTCTTTATATTAATCAAAACAGCATTTCTGCACCAAACAATCTGAAATCTCTAGAAGAGCTCAGCAGAATATTGACTTCAATGCGTCTGTGTAGAGAACTGTGTGCAGTGTTTGGAACAAAGAGCTGCAGTCTGAGTGGAAAGCAGGAAATGTGCTTTCATTTGAGCAGATTTGCTTCAGAGGGTTGGAACATGAATTACAGGTGATACTGCAGCACTGAACTTTAGGAACTAGACTTTAGTTTGAACTTTTTCTTTTTCCAAAGTAAATGACTGTACGGAATGATAAAGAAACAAGTCCTTCCTTTTTCCACTTCAAAGATGAAAGTTCATCATTTCTGTAGAATGCTCCTTGTAATCAGTGTTTTTAGCTCAGTGTGTTATCAGTGACAGTGTTTGCTTTCTGACTGAGAGTTGTTGCCTGTGTTTGGTCCAACCAGTTTATTTTGAGACATGTATGAAGTGTTTTGGTGGTTTTAGTGAGTGTTGGAGGTGAGATTAACTGTTTGGCCCAGATGCATGCTGCATCATATTAGAATCTATTACGATCTCTGAGTTGTACTCTGATCTGTGGAGCCAGTGAGTTCTTGTAAACGTTCTTGTGAGACTCGACCTTGTCAGATTCCCAGAGAACACTGATATCTGGCAGCCTGACGCCTGAGCTGCTGTCTCTAGCTGATCAGTCTAACTGTTGTCTCCCTAACAAGGACAGTTACATGAGAGAAAGAACTAGAGCTGGAAGGTCAGTGAACACTTGAGGGCTCAGATAACGACTCCAAGCTACACCTGTCTTACCCAAATATATATAGACATATTATATATGGAAGTCTCTTTGGATAAAAGCGTCAGCTAAATGATTCATTTTGGGAGGAAAAACATCAAACTTTCATCAGCAGATGCTTTTGTCCTGGTCTCTCTTATTTAAGCACAACTTCTCTCCACACAGATATTAGATTTGCAATAAGAAGGACATTCTCTTTAAGAACAATATTTTACTTGTCGGTCAGCTGTTTGATACTAATGGCAGGCTGTAGAGCTACTCAGACTTTTTGATGACGAATCAAATTCCCATATCAGTTAAAGAGTATGCGATTGTTTTTGATGCCGTTCCTTCAGGAGGCAGGATGCTGCTGGACGCATTAACTTCCTGTGGCCACACTATCACACTATCACTTTATTTGACTCTGCTGCAAGCAACAGGTCAATTCAAAACTAATACGAGATTTATTCCAAAAAGGTGTTGTTACTATTCCTTCCATAACATCGTGTTAGAATAGTATAATAGAGAGTGTGTCTTGGGATAAAGTGTGGTTATTACCCTTTAAATATTTGCTCACTAAGAAAGTGAGAGAAGTTTTGTGTAAAGTGATTCAGTGGTTCTACCCAGCGAAATCTTTCTTTAAAGATATAAACAGAATATTCAAACTGAGTGTTCTCTCTGTGAAAATGCAGAGGAAAATGTTTCCCATTTATTTTGGAACTGTTCTCATACTGAGAGTTTCTTTGTGTTTAAAGGATGTTTTCTTTGGTGTTTTTGATTTCAGGGAGGAGAAGAAAGGACTATATTTCATAACAAATCTGTTATTCTTTCTTGCCAATTACCATATCCACAAAATGTTATATTCAGCTCTTATGATTTATGGATGTGACTGATGTTGGAACTCAAGAACAGAAGTTGGTACTTTTTCATCAGAAAGCCTAAATGAATCTCTTAAAGTATATATTTGTATATTTTTTGTACCCTGGAGAATGAAATGTTGTATATGTCATTATATGTTGTTGCTTGTGCTGACATTTTCAATACAGACAATTTATTTTTTTAAATTGACAGGAAACTCACCCTCTTTCTGGGGCTTTTCTCACTTCCCCAATTTGTGCCTCCTCCACTCCTCCAGTTCGCATCTCGGGTGGGAGGGATAAGACGCCGAGCGAGGATCAAATTTGGGAAATGAAATGAAAAAGGTGCGACTAAGTGGTGCATGACACGTTTCCTCACACAAGACTCCGAGGACGAATCAGAAAGGTATGTTATGTCCTTTTTAACTAACTATAGAAAATCGCCGGGACCGATTGGCATAAAGTTTCTCTTCCTCTTTTAAACCACAGGTCAGCTGAAAGTCACAAGTTAAACTGAAACTTAATTTTAATCTTGGGTGTTAAAAAGTGGATTTAACTTTGCTCGTACTTCTCAACCTGTCTGCTGCAGAGAGCCACAGAAACAGGAGACTGCTTGGAGAAAAGAAAGAGAGGAAGCTGAACTTCCAGGTAAGTTCACTAAACATGTGTCTGTTAACGTTACTTGAGTCCAGCTATCGTTGTACTTGGCATCATTTTGATCCGTTTATTACAATTTAACCACAGCAACATGTTTATTTTGGGTCCATCCCGCTGTAGGAAACCAGATTAAAGCCCAATATTTGCTGATTGTGTTTACTCGCTTTAAAAGAGCTGCCGTTAATACTAAAGATTTAATAAGCCACCAAAAAAACCCACCTACAGTGCGACCAGTTTAGTCATATACCTTTTAAAATGGATCCAGCAAACTGGAAAAATATTTAAGAGGCTAAAGGTTAGCCCTGGCCCAGCAGAGTTCAGAGTTCTCTCATACAAAGGCTGCAGTAAAGCAACACACACTGGAGAATACTTTTAAAAGGAGACAGAAACTTCATTTAATGTAGTGCACTGTTCAACTGTACTAGGAAATTACAAGTATCTCTCAGCAGATATTAAATTACTCGATTGGGATCCGGGACAAAAATACATGATCAGGACCTCCCTACAAAAAAGGCTTCAAGTCCAAATTCTTTCATCACTTCTCTCTGAAGTCCCTGCATCTGCTCTTCTTCTCTGAAAATGGCAAATGTTGCATTTTCCCCGACCTGCTTGGAGCCTGATCATTTCTGCCTGCAGCTATATTGTTATAATTTTTTATAGTATATAAAGAAATAATATAATAACAGGCTATAATTTTACCTGCTAACAAATCCCATTATTCTGTTGAACCTTAGCTCTCTAACGTCTCTGTGTAACGGTACAAAAAGCTCTTTCAGACATGTTGCTGTCACAACGCCACACTTTATTTAAACTTCACAAAGAACTTGGAGTATTGATATGCAAGTGTAATACGGTCAGAAACTGGGACTACTTCATTTCAGTTGTGAGCCCGGCTTCCTCTTCATTCTTATCCAACTTTCTCAACAATAACACATCTGAGCCCGTCGCTCCTAGCCAACCTGTGCTACTTGTGACCTGACTCAGGGGGGTGTTCACAATGCTGCTGCAACATAATGTTAAAAGAATTTTCCAGGATATTTGACTTTTTCTCTTAATTTCCACGAGTTTTCCATGACTGGATAATTGGTCAGTTGTTTTCCAGGACGTGTGGGAACCCTGAATGAGCAGTAATCTCGTACAATATAAAAAGTAAAAACAGAACACAGATTTCTGTTTACTTACGCTTTATTGTATTAAATATGTACAAACATTGAATGTCAACATTTAGGCTTCTGAAAACTCCCCCACATTACCTGCGCCCACATCGTTAAAGGTGAGGCGCTACATGACTTGTGTGATACAAGAGAGCCACTAACCTGAAAAAACACACTCATATTAAAATTAATTTCAATATTCCTACCAAATTATATGCTTATAATATTCAGCCTCACTTAAAAAAATGAAACCCATTTATTTTAACGGCTGTGAAATATAAAAAACATTAAATATTTCTAAGCGGTGAGTAGGCTTACTGTCACATCTTAAAAACCTACAACTAGCCTACAAGGCTTTTGTTCCTTATAATTATGAAGAACAAAAAATAACACTAGTATAAATAAATGCAGAAATAAATCATATATAAATACATTTTGGTAGTAAAGGCTATTTCTTTATTTTTACATTCACTTATTTATTTATACTTGTAGTTTTTTTTCCTTTTATAGCAGTGGATACAACGCACTGAAAAGCAGCTTGTCCATGGACTTTGAATTACATATTATTATTGTCTAATTATAAATATAATAAATATAATAAATAAAACAGTCGGTGGGGACTTGCCCGACCCTGACCTCTGACCTCTCAGCAGTTTTCAGTCCCAGCAGTAGATATTGTACTTGTATTACAGAAGCAGTATTTGTAGTAGTAGCACTATTAGAAGTGACAATAATTACAAACTGTAAAGTCTTTACAGGGACAAACGAGTAAAAAGGCCTTTAAAGAAAAGTGTTTGGAAGCCAAAGTCTGTTTGAAGAAGAGCTTTAATAGCAGACACCATCTGTGGCAGCCTGAGGTTCTGGAGGTTCTGGTCCCCCTTTGTTAGGAACCAGGACTGAGGAACAGAGTGAAGGGCCCCGCCCGGGGATCTCAAGCTGCATTCTGCCTCATTACAAACCAACGCGTCCAAAATCTAGTAGTGTACCAACTGATCCACACTGCTGCTTCATGACATCTTCCAGTGCTGAGCTGATCTTTAGTTCATCAGATGGTTAGTTAGCTCCATCTAGTGGACAGGTAGCAGAACTACATCAGACACCAGGACTAACGAGGAAGAAATTAGCAGCTTCTTCTCTCCCAGTGTTTCCTCCACACATGAAGAAGTGTCTGTTAGTTCAGCAGGTGAGAATCCGACCAGAAGCATCTGTAATGTCTGATAACCAGGATCAGGATTTAAACCATGATGTTTGGGTGTACTGTAACGAATCTTGACAGTCTAATACATCTGATATATTTTGTGGTCAACATACTGAACCTCTGGGTGAATCTGGGGGCTGTGTAACACATTTTGGGGTCATCAGATCCTGTTTAGGGCTCCAACAAGGTTTCTGTCGACCTGAATATTTGTGTCATGTTACTGAGAGGAAGGAGAACTAAAGTGTCCTGAGATGTAAAGCTTGTTGTAATGAATGAGTGCAGCTCTCTCAGCATGTTGTTGTGTTTGTGTGAAGGTGTGGGCTCTGCTATGAATCAGTGTGAGGACAGAGAGGAGGGAGTCCCTCCCTCTAAAAGCACTCTGTGTGGGGAACATGACAGCCAGACCAAAGCTCAGAGGTGAGATGAGGATCTCTAACTGTCCAGGACTCAAATCACTCCACCATCATTATTCACTCTCAAAGCTCTGTGTGTGTTGTGTTGAAGCCCAGAGCAGCAGCAGGGACCAGACTCTGCTGGACCTGGACCTGGACCCAGCTGTGTGTCCATCAAGTGTGACTGGTCTATGGACAAAGCCATTGTCTTCAAAGGTGGACCCCACTCTGCTGGACCTGGACCTGAACCCAGCTGTGTGTCCATCAAGAGTGACTGGTCTATGGACAAAGCCATTGTCTTCAAAGGTGGACACCACGCTGCTGGACCTGGACTTGAACCCAGCTGTGTGTCCATGAAGAGTGACCGGTCTATGGACAAAGCTATTGTCTTCAAAGGTGGACACCACTCTGCTGGACCTGGACTTGAACCCAGCTGTGTGTCCATGAAGAGTGACCGGTCTATGGACAAAGCCATTGTCTTCAAAGGTGGACACCACTCTGCTGGACCTGGACCTGAACCCAGCTGTGTGTCCATGAAGAGTGACCGGTCTATGGACAAAGCTATTGTCTTCAAAGGTGGACACCACTCTGCTGATCAAAGGTCAGCATGTTAATGAAGTGAATGAAGTTTAGTTTTGAGCTACTAACAGTAAAGATGCAGCTGGACAGATAAACAACATCTGAAAGTCGCTATAAAACTCTGTATCGCTGAGAAACTGCAGATTCAGCTGAAAACTCACTACCAGAGACACCAACACATAAATATATCTTTTAAATCTGCTTTGAGGACACATCTGATTTGTTATTTCATTGTTCAGGATCCATCGGCAGAGACCAGATTCTCCTGGACCCAGCTGTGTGTCCGTGAACAGCGACCGTCATGTCCCTGTTCACTTCAAAGCTGGACATAATGATGCTGAACAAAAGTAAGAATCTTAAATGTTTGTGTTGTTTTGTTGACTCTCCTAAAAAGAGCTCTCAGGTAGGTCTTGGTTCAGCACTGTTTTTTGTTAATTAAAAATAATAATAGACTCTTTATTTATTCCCAGAGGGAAATTCTCATGTCACATCAGCAGCACAGAAATGAACCAGGTTCAAAGAACAGTGCAAAACAAATGGCAAACACATGAGAAAGTAAAAATATTAAAAGTATGAGCATGCCCTTTTGTCTGCTGCTTACTGTAACTGTAAGTCCAGTTAGAGTCCAGTAGGACCTCAGCAGCCTCCTCGTCCGCTGATGTCCACTGAGACACAGCTGGATGAGTAAAACAGCAGCATTTTCTCCTGTCCAGTCTACCCTGCACCCAGCGGTGTTTCCATGGAAAGTGACCAGATCATACATTTTTATACCAAGATCTGGTATAGGTGTATGAGGATCTGTTTCTACCAGATATAACACAGCACATGTAACACTGTTTGTCATTATATGTTCAAATCATCATATTTCTTCACAGAGTTGATGAGCAGAGCTCAGAGGTTCCCAGTGGTCAGTCTGCCCAGCAGCATCAAACAGACCTGGACTCCATATTTATGGTGTGTAAATGTACAAGCTCAGCTACTACTGCTAATTACAGGAGCCACAAAGTAAATAGTGAAGCAGCATTCTGATCCAGTCTCCATGCTGCACTCTGCAGACCAGCAGGCTTTCTGTCTGTCACAGATGATCTGATGTTGACTTCTACCAGTTCAACTTTACATTTTCTTCTGTTCCAGCTGCTCCAGGAAAACATTGGCAGGTTTGTGAAGAACGAGGTGAAGAAGTTCCAGAGAGTTCTGAGTCCAGATTACCCAGCATGCTTAGGGAGGGAGGAGGAGGAGGTGTTGGACGGTGAGGAGGAGGAGCAGAGGAGGAGCAGCAGAGAGGCATTTCTGAAGATCACACTGCACTTCCTGAGGAGAATGAAGCAGGAGGAGCTGGCTGAGCGTCTGCAGAGCAGTAAGAGGATTTGAACAGATTTAACATGATGGAAAGAGGAAATGGAGGCAACATGGGAGAAGTTTCCATTTCAAACTCTGCTGTTAATATGATGCACACATTTGGATCAGATCTATGAATTCTTCTGGGCTGAAACTCAGAAACTGTTCACAGCTGATGAGCTGAAGAGATTTCATGGAGGAGGAAAATAAATACCATCTTGATGTCTTAAAGTTTACATTTATCAGATTTACTGCAGCATCCACTTATTAATCACATTTCTTCTTCATTCAGGAACTGTTGCTGCAGTGTGCCGACGTAAACTCAAGTGTAACCTGAAGAAGAAGTTCCAGTGTGTGTTTGAGGGGATTGCTAAAGCAGGAAACCCAACCCTTCTGAACCAGATCTACACAGAGCTCTACATCACAGAGGGAGGGACTGCAGAGGTCAATGATGAACATGAGGTCAGACAGATTGAAACAGCATCCAGGAAACCAGACAGACCAGAAACAACCATCAGACAAGAAGACATCTTTAAAGCCTCACCTGGAAGAGATGAACCAATCAGAACAGTGATGACAAAGGGAGTGGCTGGCATTGGGAAAACAGTCTTAACACAGAAGTTCACTCTGGACTGGGCTGAAGACAAAGCCAACCAGGACATACAGTTCACATTTCCATTCACTTTCAGAGAGCTGAATGTGCTGAAAGAGAAAAAGTACAGCTTGGTGGAACTTGTTCATCACTTCTTTGCTGAAACCAAAGAAGCAGGAATCTGCAGCTTTGAAGAGTTCCAGGTTGTGTTCATCTTTGACGGTCTGGATGAGTGTCGACTTCCTCTGGACTTCCACAACAATGAGGTCCTGACTGATGTTACAGAGTCCACCTCAGTGGATGTGCTGCTGACAAACCTCATCAGGGGGAACCTGCTTCCCTCTGCTCGCCTCTGGATAACCACACGACCTGCAGCAGCCAATCAGATCCCTCCTGAGTGTGTTGACATGGTGACAGAGGTCAGAGGGTTCACTGACCCACAGAAGGAGGAGTACTTCAGGAAGAGGTTCAGAGATGAGGAGCAGGCCAGCAGAATCATCTCCCACATCAAGACATCACGAAGCCTCCACATCATGTGCCACATCCCAGTCTTCTGCTGGATCACTGCTACAGTTCTGGAGGAGGTGTTGAAGACCAGAGAGGGAGGAGAGCTGCCCAAGACCCTGACTGAGATGTACATCCACTTCCTGGTGGTTCAGTCCAAACTGAAGAACGTCAAGTATGATGGAGGAGCTGAGACAGATCCACACTGGAGTCCAGAGAGCAGGAAGATGATTGAGTCTCTGGGAAAACTGGCTTTTGAGCAGCTGCAGAAAGGAAACCTGATCTTCTATGAATCCGACCTGACAGAGTGTGGCATTGATATCAGAGCAGCCTCAGTGTACTCAGGAGTGTTCACACAGATCTTTAAAGAGGAGAGAGGGCTGTACCAGGACAAGGTGTTCTGCTTCGTCCATCTGAGCGTTCAGGAGTTTCTGGCTGCTCTTCATGTCCATCTGACCTTCATCAACTCTGGTGTCAATCTGCTGGCAGAAAAACAATCAACCTCCTGTCGTTCTAAAGTCTTCAAAAACAAACCTGAATTAACACATCTCTACCAGAGTGCTGTGGACAAGGCCTTACAGAGTCCAAATGGACACCTGGACTTGTTCCTCCGCTTCCTCCTGGGTCTTTCACTGCAGACTAATCAGACTCTCCTACGAGGTCTGCTGACACAGACAGGAAGTTGCTCAAAGACCAATCAGAAAACAGTTGAGTACATCAAGAAGAAGATCAGTGAGAATCTGTCTCCAGAGAGAAGCATCAATCTGTTCCACTGTCTGAATGAACTGAATGATCGTTCTCTAGTGGAGCAGATCCAACAGTCCCTGAGTTCAGGAAGTCTCTCCACAGATAAACTCTCTCCTGCTCAGTGGTCAGCTCTGGTCTTCATCTTACTGTCATCAGAAAAAGATCTGGATGTGTTTGACCTGAAGAAATACTCTGCTTCAGAGGAGGCTCTTCTGAGGCTGCTGCCAGTGGTCAAAGCCTCCAACAAAGCTCTGTAGGTGGATAAATGGATGTGCAATTTCTAAAACTGTATATTTGACAAATAAAACATTCAGTTTGTGTTCATTGCTAATCCTTTTTCAGGTTGAGTGGCTGTAACCTCTCAGAGAGAAGCTGTGAAGCTCTGTCCTCATTTCTCAGCTCCCAGTCCTCTAGTCTGAGAGAGCTGGACCTGAGTAACAACAACCTGCAGGATTCAGGAGTGAAGCTGCTGTCTGCCGGACTCGAGAGTCCACACTGTACACTGGAAACTCTCAGGTCAGTAATAAGCTGTTGCTTTTAAATCCTCCTCATCTGGTTTTAGGTTCAGTTAGTGAAAATGGTCTGTAGGAGTTTCCTGCAGACGTGATTTTCTAAAACACAGAGTTTATGATGTTTTCCTGATTCCAGGCTGTCAGGCTGTCTGATCACAGAGGAAGGCTGTGCTTCTCTGGCCTCAGCTCTGAGCTCCAACCCCTCCCATCTGAGAGAGCTGGACCTGAGCTACAATCATCCAGGAGAGTCAGGGGTGAAGCTGCTGTCTGCTGGATTGGAGGAGCCACACTGGAGACTGGACACTCTCAGGTTTGGACAGACAGCAAGAGCTCACACACTGCAGGTGTCTCTAATTTCTGTTATTTTCTGTCAGTCTACTGGAGTCCATCATCATGAAGGACTTCTTATTCCTCCTCATTCTGTTCAGAGCAGTGAGTAGGCCTGAGATAGGAAACACACGGCTCTCCAGAAGTCTTATCGATTGGAAACCATTAGAAACATCAGAAACTTGGATGTAAAATCATTCTAATGTGAGACCTGCTTGCAGCATTTCTCTATGGATAGAATCAGGGGGGGACTGGTAATCTGGCATACCAGGTAAATGCCTTGTGGGCCGACGAAACTTTGGGGCCAGTGTAACATAAATTACTTATTATTTAACTGTTTTAAAAAATGGGCCAACGGTCGGCCCATAAAGCATGTACCGCAGCACATTGGGTAATTTCTATACTGACATTGGGCTGGCCCAATCACATCTCTTACAACCCCCCCCTCCTCTGCTTTCTGTTTCTTGAGTTGGGGCCAAAAAAAATTGCCACCAAATGCGCAAAATAACCGATATGTTAGCAGGAGGAGAGTGGAGGTGAAGCGGTAAGCATGGAGTAGCTCAGCCTGTAGGGAGGGAGCAGGGAGGGAGGGTATAGTGTCATTTACACTGGGGACGCTGGGGACATGTCCCACCACTTTTGAAATGGCAGATGTTGTCCACATCACTTTTTGAAAGCATTTGTTAAAAATGTTAATGTTAAGAAATGTTAATTAACAAATGAAATGCTTTGAGAAAGGTTTATTTGCACTATTCTGAAAACCAGCAATGCAATAAAAACATAGAAGAAACATCTGCGTTGTCCAAAAAAAGAACTTAAGCTAAAAAAAAGCTCCAGATTTTTATATTCTGAATCATCACTTGCCAACTGAATTTGTGCTTCCCTTTACATAAATAAAGACATTCCACCATAAATTGGTGCAGAAAAATCCCCAGAATGCAGGAAATTAAGTGTTTAATGCTCAAAATAGTATTCAAATGTATTCTTGTCTTGTTCTCGTGACCCCAATCTTGTGCAATGTCACATCTCATGGGCAAAGTGTGTCGTCACCCCCTAATCTGAGCCTTAAATGTCCCCACCACTGTTCAACACAAAGTGAGGCCCTTGGGTAGGATGTGTGCCATGCTGTAGTGACAGTGATGATGATTACTTCAATTAAGGTTGATGATTATAACATATGAGTACACTGATTCACTTGCACTGGTGCACTTATCCATGGCACATACCACTCTGCTTGTTTGTTACAGTAGGTACACATGTTATATATGGAAGGATGGTGTATCGGTGAAGTGTCTCACCAATTTAGGTGAGCCGCCTGAGCCAACAATGCCGGGGCCAATTTTTTAGTCCCAGTCCAGCTCTGGATGAAGAGTGTTTGAGGTTCATCTCAACAATACTAAATTGTTGTGAGATTAATGTAGCTGCAGTGTTACAAGTCTAACTACATTTCTCAGTAGTGTGGTGGTAGCTTCGTTTTTTCTGATCAAATGGCTTTTCAACCTCGAAGCTCCTTATTGATCAAGTACGTGGTAGCATCACACACTGGGGTTGGGCCGATAGACGATGCCATCGGTGATGGCTGATGTCTGGTGAAAGCAGGATTAATCCCCAAAAACATTATCATTATCATTTTTAAAAATACCTGGTTTGCACCGGTCTCTGAATTCTCTTCTCCCCACACTCACACACAGCTAACGTTCTCGTAAACATCTCTGGTCTCTCTCCACCTGTCTGCTCCACTTTCTCCATCAGCAGTGTTTTATAAAGTCGCCTAAAACACACAGAACTCGTCTTTTTCATTGTTCCACCCGTGATCTGTTATCACGGCAGCAGGTGAGC